GTAGCCAGTAAAATTCTCTATCGAATGACATATAAAGTAGAGTGGTTAAGGACAAATTAAATGAATGGTACAAACATCAATGAGGTTGACCTACCGGTTTGCTGAGATACTAGCGAGTATTTCGAAAATTGTGTGTTATTTTGAAAATTGTCTATGAAACGATGTGTAATACTTGATATTTGCTTTAGGTGAGAGAGGTGGAACAATGAAAACACTTAGAGTAAAGGTCATTTAAGGCGAGAAGAGTTTTTTTTGCTAAAGTATTTCCAGGGGCGCTGAAAAACATTTTTAAGGTGTAAAAATGTGTTAGCGTTAATCGCGGACAAAAACTGCATCAGATGCTTTAATACACGACTGATTTGAGAGAGGCCCGATTTTGGTTTCTATCGTTCCATATCAACTGTTATACACCGTTCGATAGAGAATTTCACGAGCTACAAAATGATGTATGAGATACCCTTAAGATAATGTAACTGGGTACTCGGTGAAGATCCGGAATACTCGGTAGCGTCTCAGTAAACCGATGGGTCAACGTGGTTCATGTTTATAATAATGACTTATTTTCTCGTTAAATTTCTCGCTTAAATACATTCACTAGGGAATGGCGACATCTTAGTAAGATTTGTGTTGTAAGATGCACAAACTACTTAAATTTCGAGCTGTAATATCAAATTTTTAACGTTTTTTTTAACGTCATTTTAACGGATCGTAAAAATGACGACCCATCAGTAGTGTCTGAAATTGAACAAAGACAATCGCATGGAAAAGATTATTATGGATTTTAAATGAAAAGCATACTATTTAATAACATTTATTTCACAATTTTTAGTTAAAAAAACTGAATTTGTGTACGAGGAATAAATGGCAACTAGATATCTGCACGGGCATAGAAATTCCTGTGACCGTCGGTAAGCTCGTACTGCCCAATACCACGGATCCGTGGTATACTCGCTAGTATCTCAGCAAACCGGTAGGTCAACCTCATTGATGTTTGTACCATTCATTTAATTTGTCCTTAACCACTCTACTTTATATGTCATTCGATAGAGAATTTTACTGGCTACAAAACTGTATAAAATGTTTTCGGAAGAATATGTGAGTAGATATTCTAAGTCTAAGGTCTATATCGTTCAGGCGCGATAATTCTCCGTAGACACCCAAATTCGGTGATTTTTAGGTGCGAAACCTTCAAAATAGATGGAAACATTGGTTATCGATCACGCTGAATCTTGTGACAATGTTAGTTTTTAGTATAAGAGTCTCAAACCTAGTGAAAACCTATATCAGATTTTGCCTACTTTCACGTAAAATTAAAAAATTCATAACTCCGTCAAAAGCGATGAAGACCTCGTCAGAATATCATAGTATACTCTATTCTATCTGCTAAATCATCGTGAAATTGTCTATCGAACGATGTGTAATACTTGATATTTGCTTCAAGTGAAAGAGGCGGAATAATGAAATACTTTGAGTAAAGGTCATTCCCTAGTCATCGGTTCTTATATAAGAATCTTACAAACATCTTACTCAATTCTTATATAAGATCTTTCACCAAAGTGACAAGAATTCTGCTGAATCTTATAAGAATCTCACAAGAATTCATAAGAGATTAGTAAGAGTCGGCAAAACTCGTACGTTATTCTTATCAGATTCTTATAAGATACTTATGAGCAACATGATCGAATCTCCTACAGAATCGGACAGGTATGCTATGTTGCACCGGTGCGTACTAGTTTCACATTTTTCCAGTCACCGTTTGTTATCTACGATTGCACTATGTTTTACTCGGACTTTTCTTCGAGAATACAGGGCAATCAAATTTTAATGCGAGCAGACAATGCTTTGACCTTGTTATAATCTTTATCCAAAGAGGAAAAATCAGTATACATAGCGAGTATAAACAGCACTTAGAAAACCTTTAAAAACCTCGAAAACAATTGCATTGGATAGAGAATCATCGATAACCTAGTGTTTAGACAATTTCATGTGTTGATAATTTCAGATTTTAAAATTTCAGCCAAAAATCCCTATACGCACATGCAAGAAACAAACTAATCAACTAAATTCAAAATTTTCAGTACAAACACGGCTGAATCTTACACCATTCAACGCAGTTTTTTACGACGAGTCCGAATTATATTTTTTTTCAAAAAAATATTTTTTCTTCGAAAAAACGGACGAAAAGCTCAAGAAATCGAGGGTTTTTGTAAAATTCATATCTCCTCTCTGGAGATTTTGTGCGCGGTCACTTTACTAAGAACGCCTGTTGGGAAAATAATTAGCAAAGAAAGAATGCATTTTTCATAGGAGAGAAAAGTCTTGGAAAACGAAAGTTTTTTCGACGAATGGATAGAGGAAGATCTCCTCTTTAAGAATATGATAAGTTCATCCGTACACTCTTCTTACTTTCACCGCTACCGGCTCTTTTTCTCAGAAGTCGCTCAAATCTAGTTAAATCTTGGAAGTGCTGTATCTCAGCAACGAAAAGAGTTAGAGAAAAACTTCCAAGACAAAAGATATGTCTTTTTCCCAAGAATATGTTCTGCTAAACACTAAAATGTGTTCCTGTAACGCTGCATACAGCTCTAATATATTGTCCATTCATATACTAACAAACCATCCTGTAATGTGATAACTGATGATCAATCACAAGAAAACTACTGTGTGCGTGGAGGGATTGAGCCTAGAAAAGACACAAAACTTAATTATAAAAAGCTGAACATTATGAAACAGGTTAGGCTCTAACTACCACAATATGGGTAAATAGAGACAATCCATTGAAATACACGGGGTTCCCAGAGACAAACACCTACCGTCTCTCAGAAGCCGATTCTGGTGTTATTCCAAGTGGCAAAGTTCTTCAGAATGCTGAACTCTATCACATATGAGAAAATAGCTAATTATTCCAGTGAATAAGCTTTAATATTGGCTTCACACTACATGGGATATAAATTTGAATATATTTTATGGACTAAATTAAATTTAAAATTAATTACGATAACTAGACAACTTTTCAACTTTGATAAAATCTTCTGTTTATGGCTTACGTAAACATCTCTATCGAATGCAAAAATAATCATCTGAAAATTGTGAGAACTACGCAAGATAACACAATAGATAACATCAATCCGATATATGCCCCGCTTCAAGAACTCATATACAATATGATATGAAGTTATGGACAGCAGATCACTCGGAAAGCAATGATATTACACCTTAGTATTATTCATATACAACAATAATCAAAACAAGTTTAGTATCAAGAATGAAAAACCAAGTACAGAGTACGCTAATTAATCAAAATGAATTACATCATTGGCATTACATCTGATTATATTGCTAATGCATATCCATCACTTAACGCTCCATTATCGAATCTGAATGATTTTTCATCGCACTATACAGGTATGATGACCTTGATTAGGGCGAAGCATATAGCTATTTGTATACTATCTGACTTTTTTCTTATTAAGATTATTTAAATGCTATTTTAAATCATTACACAACTTCTACTCCATTTTGTCAGCCTTACTCATCTCATTCTATCCTCACAACTTATCCTGATTGTTATAAATGTAAGAAGTCACCTACATCTTCCATCCAATGTACAACTTGCGCTAAAGAAGTCTGTCTTTATTGTTTTTCTTTATTGATTTTCAGTGTTAAACTTGAATGTAAAATTCTTCAAAGATAACAGGTTTATAGAGAAAACAATTCCCTACAAGATGAACTGTTTGACGTTTAAAAATAGCTAACGGCTGAAGTACACATCATTCTATTCAATAGGCTTTTACATCGACCACTTATTGAGCGAAAAAAACAGATCAACGTTAAAATACCTCTTGAATCTTTTGATAGAAAGACTTGAGATAAAAATCTGTTATTAACAAGGAATAAAGCTGAGATTTAGGGCTATCGAACAATAAAAAAGAAATTTTTTATATTTTTGTTCTTTCAGGATGTTACAAGGCTTTTGTTCTTCATCGTACGAACACTTTTTACACTAACTGTATGTTATACATAAAATTCGTCCTATTGAAGACATAAATTTTTATCGAATACGTCATTCGAATGAGCGTTAAAAACTGAACAAACTAACTATAGCTTCGAGTTTTTATGTCGCTATGAACTCTTCCCAAAATACTATCAAACGTACACGTATTCTTATTTTATAGTTTAAAGATTTTTCTGTGAATAGTAAAGTTTACATTTTTCTTCTTGCCTATTTAAGCACAACATCGACGTTATCGTTATTCTTTTATATTACGAACTGCTGAATAAGAAAAATATTTTTTTTTAGAACGTAGAAATGTTTTCGTTGCTTTGCGAACAGACAAGAGAACATATAAGAAGTGAGAGCATAGAGATAAAAAAGAAAAGTATCGAGGATAAAAAAAGAAGTATCGTCTGTTCGTATGTTTTCAACAGACTATACGAGCTGAGATGTAGTCTATATATTACATTTTTCTTCTTTCACTCTTTACCGCGTTCAGTTAATAGTTCGCAAAACAGAGAAATGCGTATTACAAATTGTACGTACAAAGAAGAAAAAAGAGGGCAATGCGATTACAACGTACACAACTCACTGGTTCTCTTCTATCCATTTTTGTCAAATAAAAGTCTAAATTAAAATGTCATCAACCACTACACCAATTCATGAGTCTAGTATTGCTACTGATGTAACATCACTGCCACCATCATCGTACGTTTTACAACCAGGACAATTGGGTCGTCGTCCAAATTTTACACGCGATGAAATTATTACACTATCCACTCAAGTTCATCAAAATTCTGCCATTCTCAAAAATCGTTCGCATGATATTCATACACAAGAAGAAAAATGTAAACTATGGGATAGAATTGCACATATTATTAATCAAGTGGGTGGCTACGATAGAACGGGACAAGAATTGAGACGAAAATGGTTCAATATTGTTTATGATCGAAAAAGACAACGACGATCAAAAGCTGATTTTGATTTACCTGCATCTGATTTAGAAAACCGAACAAAATCACCGGTAAGAGAAATTGATGATCAAGATTTGATTTCCCATGTGCGAACTGGACGGCGGCCGGTTAACTAATTATTAACTATCAATAAAGAAATGTTTGTCTGTTGATCGTGTCTTTATTGGTCATTTTTAACCATGAGTACTAATTTTTGGTTTTCATTTGTGTTACCATTAACGAGCCGTTAATTTACAGCAGAAATAATCGTTCAGTTAGCGGCCGTCCTCTTGTTAACAAGTACTCCCACCTTTTTTCTTATGATGTCATCACCAGCAGGGCCGGCTCAAGCCAATTTTCAAGCGTGTGTCAAAAATGTTTTTGCGCCTTTTTATATCAAAAAATTTTAATTTTTTTAAAGCTTCTGTTGAAAGGTGCTTTTATATGAATAACGAGGCGCCTTTCGAGTCTTCGCGACTGTGTGTTGGGCACGCCTTCAACCGACCCTGATCACCGGTATATAAATATATCTGATTGGCTTTTATGAAAATAAAACGTTATCCTTACATCTAAGGGCGACACCACAGTCATTTGAAAGAACAAACGGCGTTAACTGACACTATTCTCTAAAGCCACCGAATTCCAATAAGGAGACTATTTCAAAAGACGACCGGCATTAAATATATGTTAAAAAAGCCACACTTTGTTTTCTAAGTTTTTACTTTCACACTTCTCGATAAAATGTTTTTTTAATATTTTAGACAGCTGAAAATGAAAATAGCTACACATCAATATCTTCAATATCAAAAAATCCATCGAAAGTAGCACCGAATACAAACTATAAGACTCAAAAGCAACCATCAGTTACTCCAGTAATCAAAGTTGAATCTTTTATCGATAATATCGACGATGATTTGTTAATTTTGACTAGTGACGATGATGACGAAGAGGAACAACACGAAAATGATCATTCAGACTTTGATATATTCAAAGAATATATTGAATCAACAACAATGAATAATAAAACAAAGGGCGAAACAAATACTCGTACACGTTTGTTTAATGGTAGTCCTAGCAGTTTATTAGAGAGTGCAACAACAGCACCATCATCCATAAATATTGAATATGCACTAGATCGTTTAATTCGTATTGAAGAAGAACGTCTGTTGGTTGAAAAAGAACGCATTGCTATTGAAAAACAACGTTTAAACATTGAAACAAAACGCTTAAAATTAAAAGAAATTAAATTTAAACATGAAATTCTACAACAACAGAAGGCAACAACATCAGTAACAAATAAAAAGTTCAAATATAATTAATATCACATTTATTTTAGAAATAATTATTGTAAATATTTGTTAGAATACTCGAAAATTAGCGTTGCGTTTACGCATTTGTATCTAAATTAATGTTAAAACTTTATCTACGAGACCTGTTAAGAACATTTTAGGAGATAAGAAACGAAAGTCTACACGTTTATTGCATCTATAAATGACTAGTTTTTTCATGATTTAAAAGCTATGAAAATAGTGTAAGAACAGAAAACGGGTATATGCAGAAGAGATCAGACTTCTGCAGATGAAGAACGCTAAGCATTGATGATAAACTGGTTTTTATTGACTTTCTTATCCATCTATTTTTATTTCATGATGTTCTTAAGTCTTCAATATCGTCGATAGAGTTTCCACTACCTTCACCATCTTTAAATATCTGTTTCTGCCATGATTTGAAATAGATTGTTTGATATTTCATCAATGTTTTCATTTGATATTTTCGAAATGCTTTAATTGGTTGATCAGCTGAAACAATTGATCCTAACAGTGGTGCACTATATAAATCAACATTTCGATTAATACCATCTAGTAATAATAAATCCTGATTGACTATTTTTACGTTCATATTATTCATATAATAATCATAACCAGGAATATATTCAACAAATTTAAACTTTGCAAAATTACGATAAAATTGAAATAATAATTTCATTTTATTTGTTGCTGATGGTATATTGATCATGATTTGGGTAAACTTTCGCTCTTTTTGAAATATGTGTTCAAGACGAATGAAACATGGTGGTAAAAAATGCATATATGTACATTCTCCTTTATTTTTTGTTGATTCAGGACGTGTGAGTTTGAACGAGCATGATTCAGAATTAATTGATGAAAATAGATTTGTTGATAATTTCTCACATTTGATACATGTGGCTAATGAACGTTTACCAATGAGACCATCATGAGTAAAATCGATATGCGCAATATCCAGTAGATTATCGACCATTAAATCGTAGGGTATGTCCAACACTCGATAGCCTTCTGGTGACATAATATAGTCAGTTGAATGTTGTAAATCGGCTAATAATTGATGAGGAATTAAATCGGAATGTGCTAAATCTTTTCTACCTGGCCATACCCATATAAAACCATACTGTTCATGAACGGGTTTTGTTTGTGCACATATCACTGATGCTACATTTGAATATTTTGAAGTCGACGGGATAACTTGACATTTGCCATCGACACCATATTGCCATCCATGGTAAATACATTCGAGAGTGCCTTGTTTTGTCATTTGACCCAAACTCAAAGGAGCTGAACGATGAGGACATCGATCAACGACACACACTACATCATTGTTTTTACCAGTACGATAAAGACACAATGGTTCATTTAATAGCTGAAATCCATATGGTTGTTTATTTGTTATTTCATGTGACAAAGCAACAGGATACCAGTAGAGTGTATGATCTAATGGATCTAATTGTTTTCGAATCGAATCAATATCATTTTGATCAGATAAAGAATATTTTTGATGACGTAAACGAGATTTATCTCGTCGTTGAACTCTTCTGTATTCAACGATGGTAAAATAACAAAGTAGTATTATCACTGATGTGATTAATGTTGAAATTATATATTGATAAAATAAACTGGATAATAATAACAATAACATGGTAAATGTGTGTCTGTCAACTGTTTTCACATTATATATAGAGCAGAAGAGAAAGCTAAGAAAACAGAACAGAACAACATGAAGTTTTTTTCTTCTGAACTCTTACATAACAGTACAAAAAAGAACAGAAAAAAATGTGAGTCGTTTTTTCATTGAGATTTATTGTCCCTATTTAATGAGGTTGACATGTGAGTCTTCAAAAGATGTGGGTCTTTTCTGAAGGTTACTCGCACCTACTATAGTAACATTTATTTATTACTTATCTTAAATATAAAAAAGTGTTATATAATGCTTTGAATCTATCTTTACAATTGATATACCTGCTAACAAATATTTTTCAATTCGGTGATACTACAGCATTTAAGTAGTATTACATTTGATAATATTCATCATGACAGTTTCGAGAACAATAAAAATTGAAAGACAAGAGATTCACTAGACAAAGCACAATTTTCGCCTTAAGATCTTCGTTGTATGGGCCCAAGAGTTTCTTCAATTATATTAGCAAAAGACTAATGCATGTTAGCAACATCAGATTAAAACGAAGTGTGAATGACCATATCTTCTATCGCGATTTTTTTCTAAAATACAACTTGATAGTTTTGTTCAGAATATTGTGTTGAATATAGTGGCATTTTAACAAAAAAATCGTGATACAAAAAATGGCTCTATCGTACCTCATGCTTTCGGCAAAACAACCATAGTACTCGTATTATGAAACGATTGACACATTTTGTGCAGAAGGAAGAAAACAAATTATGACATCGTAAATGCGTTAGTGACATAAAAATTCAAAACAATACCATGTGCTTTCGAAAAAACAATTCATGTACAGTTCGCAGCATAAGAATGAAAGAAAGAGAAAAACACTTGTTATCTTGTCATACTAAAAGATAGACCTATCTCTGATTCGTGAACAGTTTGCATATTACGCTGAATTATCACTGAAGAGATGTTTTTAGAATTATCCAACTATCTAACACTATTCGATATGTTTCGATCATTTTGCGGTTTGGAGATTTGAATTGACAAGATGCAAATAATCTAATTTCTTGTAGCTATTTCGTTCATTATCGTAACAGTTCAACTACATATTCCATCAAATATTGACTCATTATGAAATAGTACGATACTAATCTACAGTTGTGAGGAATATATTTATTCGGTCTTACATGAAACATTCGACTAGTAAAGGGATCGGGTAATGCACAATAAAATCCTTTATCTACAGTATTGTCGGTAAAAAAAAAGAATGGACTCGGATATTTTTGAATAACGTTTGACAGAAAAGTGGTAGATGCTTGCGGTCTTCACTAATCGAAAGCTAGAATCTNTTACGATAATGAACGAAATAGCTACAAGAAATTAGATTATTTGCATCTTGTCACAACGAAAGTCATTTTCAAAATCTTTCCCTAAAGCAGATTTTTTAGGAGACCTTTGAAAAACCATATTTACATATGCATCATTACTGATAATGCCACATGGCATAATGAGCAGACAGATGAGACAAAATTACCAAAGCAAGCATAGAAAAAGGTAGAGATTATACAATGGTTAGATGATCATAAGGTGCCTTATTTGAATTATACTATACTACAGCAGAATTAGTCGAGCTAGCAGTTGCTTATGGACCAGAAAAGAAATTTAAAGTTGATGAGGCGGCGAAAGAATTCAAAGTTGAGATGCTACGATTACCGATAAAGCATTGTGTTCTCAACCTGATAGAATTAGCCTGGGCCGAGCTCAAATATTTTATTCAAAATAAGAATAATAATTTTACTCTTACAGATATTACGACATTATCTCAAGCACACATGGCTGCATGTTCCATAGAATTAATAGCGCGTTTTATACAGCATGCACAAAACTATGCGGAAACATTCAGAGCGGCAGATAAGGTAGCTGAAGAAATGGACAAATACATAATAGAAGATGATTTGGAATATGACACAGATGGATAACAGTTTCGTTTCATTCATATTTATGTAACATTATAATAATTTGAAATAAAATTAAGTAGTTTCAAGATAGCACAGCAGTTATAACAGCTTAGGTTGAGTACAGGTTTCGATAGTTCATCTGTAAAAACGTTTTTAAATCGTTAAACAGAGACTGCTACAAGACTCAACGTGGTCGATAATTCCTGTCTAGAGTCATTTGTGAGGTTCCCACGTGTGAGAAAAGACCAGTTCTGGGACTCCCAGAAAATTCGATGCCAGGCCTAAGCGATCGAAGATGACAGTCTCGCTTAACTCCCATTTTGAAGAGGACACTTTGAACTATCTATCCATGAAAAAAAATCAAACCATTTGTATTTCAAGTTTTTGAGTAATGACCTGGTTTTTCAAAGGTTTCCTAAAAAATCTGCTTTAGGGAAAGATTTTGAAAATGACTTTCGTTGTGAAAAGATGCAGTTAGATTCTAGCTTTCGATTAGTGAAGACCGCAAGCATCTACCACTTTTCTGTCAAACGTTATTCAAAAATATCCGAGTCCATTCTTTTTTTTACCGACAATAGCTCTAGAAATGAAACACTACTGGCACTTAAGTCACTTGATTATAAGTAAGCTCTCATACTGAACAGGTGACAAGGTGCAGTTTGCATTTACCTATCTGTATAGAGTTTCCTACAAGGCCTCCTACAAAGAAAGCTTTTGACCAGACGTGAAAAAATGTTGGCTGTTGTACCCCTAGGTGGTTAAGGTTTGGGAAAACAAGAATCCCCAGGAGTTGATGTGCAGTTTTTGAGGCGACGGGATCTTCAGATTGCCTGTTTCTGAAGACTAATCGTAAGTTCAGCCAGAGAATTTTTTAGTAAAAAAAGCACTAAAATTTATAACTTGTAGACGGAGAAAAATATCATATTCGGAATAACTTTCTAAGGAGAACTAAGATCGTTAACAGACTATTGTTAGTACTACCGGATGACTATAGTCAAATCCTTGCGACTTTTACATCATTTAATACTGAATGAAAGTATCCTGAGATGTTTTTATTTCACATGCAAAGTAAATACTACAGATATAAATATATCTGTAGTATTTACCTTGTATATCAAATAACATAAAAAGCAGGCAAAAGATGCACGTGAAAGGGAACAGTTTCAATTAGTTCCCCAATCTGACCTTAAAAGTTCAATAAAGTAATCACATCATAGAAGCAAATTCCGTAGCGAAGATCAAGTGAAATTTCAAACGACGATTATTATAGGTGCATTTTATTTTAAATTAGAAATTATTTGCTAATGAGAGAAAAAAGAAAGGATATAAGTGCTTTTCATTCTTCTGAACATATTTGAAAAGACAAAAAACGGGAAGGTGTTTGCTTGTTTTGTATCATAAAACAGAAGAATTTTATAACAACATGACGAGAGCGAGAGAGAAACGACGCGATTATACTGCTAATTTGTATAGACATAGATACAACGTACCATCGGAAAAAATGCTTAGAATTTTAAAAAAAAGAACAATCCATCGGTCATGTACGAATATATAAATAATAACATTGTCAATTTTATCTATGCTTCGTCTTCTTCTTTATGTTCTTTGGCTGATTTTAATTGTACTTGTTCACGAAAATTAACTTTATCTTCTTCTTTTTCTTCTTTGAGCGCAAATTTATTTTTTTCACTCTTTTTCAAATTAGCCATTGAAACAAAATCTGGTTCTTCTTCTTTTTGTTTTTTGATTTTGTTCATTCTATAAATAACAGTATATTGAAAGTTATAGCTAATATTGTTTAGCAAGATCTACACAACTTACTTTTGTTCCGTTTTTGATACTTTTTTCAATGATGGTTTAACAAATTTACCTTTGATATCATTTATTTTTATTGTTAATTCGTTGATCTAAACAGTTTCACGTTTGTTACTCGTGAATATACTAGAAAATATAGACGATATTACTTACATCATAATCTTGTTTACGAATTTTAATTTCCAAATCATAGCGTGTTTCCTCATTTTGTTGTACTTGTTGTTGTAATTCTTTGCAAAATGCCAGTATATTCGCTACAAGAAGAAGAAATGATAAGAAAAAAATGATCAAAGTGTTATCTCCTACCATCGCTTTGTGATGCAAAATCTGGCAATGGTTTAATATGTTGTTCAATATAATGTTTCCGTGCTTCTAAACGTTTTTGTTGTTCACCTTTGATATTTTCTGTAGCCATTTTCATGATCAAAAGCTGAATAAAAAATGTTTAAATTTCATGTTCTTTGGATATTGTTCAATATCATCCTGACTTACCCGTAATTTACGTTTTTTTTCCGGTGTGAGGGCGAACCGCTTCTTTTTTTCAGCGGCTTCACGCGCCTCTTGCCGTTTACGTTCACGGTCAGCTTTCTTGCGTGCTTTCTTTTCATCCTCGGTGAGTGGTCGATCCTAAAATAATACGTATTTGAGTTGAGAGTAACACGTGTTAAATTACTATATAGTTACAGAACTGATTGAGTAATGTTTAATCGAGACATTTCGCATGCGCATTCAACACAAATACGTTGCGTACTAAATCACCCAACATCGAATTTTATAATCAATATCGTGCAGTATTCGATGGTAGCAGCTTTTATTTTAGCAACCAATTGCCAGATAACTAGAAATTTTCGTCTAACTAAGAAATTACGCCATCTCTTTAGATTCGATCAAATGAATGTTACTTCAGTTGATTATTAAAGGAGTACAAAAAGAGCAATAACTGTTCAATATTCATTAAACTACTGGAAAATATTTTGAATATAATATGTAGCTCATCTTCAACTGTTAATAGAAATAAAGTACGTTTCAGAAGAATATCAGTGACATCTATTGAATGGAAGCACTGTACATGATTATCTGTTTTTTATGTAAGCTAGCTTTTTAAATTACGTTTTTGAATCAACTAAACAATTTATTTAATAAAGAATAATCGTTTTTTTTAGTTATTATAAGCTAGTTATTAAGAGAAGAATAAAGATTTGTTTGTGTCCAAACTCAACATAGAGAAGAAATTGATGATAAATGTTGATGATAAATGTTACCAGTATATTGATAGTCGTGCAGCTAACCATGCATTTTGCATTAACATATTTTCTGCGCAATAACATGACAAATTTAGTGTGTGTATTCAAATGATTCTAGATTATTGATACTTGTACAAAAGATATAGTTTAAAGTTCTCGTCGAGGACTATATATGTACATATATATCGCTAATACTTGCTATCGAAAAAAAAAAATTAATTTACGTATTCCATACAAAACTTTTAAGCGAATTTACGTAACTGAACAGAAAGAATAGATTTTCTAAATGTTGAGAAAAATGAAGTTCAGTGGATAGTTTTATATTGGCAATAAAATTTGAGACTACTATAAAAATTTTACTAATAACTAAAGAAAAAGTTAAATTTAAACTGTCTTTTACTTCTATTCGAATAGATATTGAGTTATTGATTCATTTGTATGACTTGTTTTAAAAGCATAAAGTTGAATATTTGAAGTGTGCGTGCAATCATTCTCCCATTTATGTTCATGCTTTAATTGAATAATTAATGAATTGTTTCATGCACATAAAATATCAAAACATTTTAAATATTGAATATAAATAAAAGTTTGAATATGATATATCTATTGAATTTCATGCTTAGAACTTTTACCTCGTCAGCCATTTTTATCCTATTAATTAACAGTTAGTATACTCGTTGTGTATCTATCTTTCTTGTGTATTGAAACACAAACGACCAAGGATTTTGACGTCGAATAGATATGTATGTATATAGCTGCTATTATTATTATTATTTCCTTCCCCCTCTAAAAAAAAAAGGAAAAGAGTTCTATTCTAGAAATAAAACGTACATGACATTGATTTTCTGCTGTAAATATATACAAAACCAACATACATACACATCATTCAGTGTGTAATATAATACTAGAGGACCAGAAGAGAAGAGAGAAAAGATGCTTTTTGGGAAAAGAAGAAAAAGAAAAAAAATAGAGAACTTGGTTACATTTGTTGTGAAATAATCAAAGTTATTTTCTCTACCACATGAAAACGAGAATATAAATGTCTACAATGCGATTATAATAGTTATCATGTTTATTGTTCGATAGAAGAAGAAAAGCAAACCAAAAAAAGATTTTGTTGTACAAAATATATCTCTATGGAAAAATTAGACTATATTTCGATCTGAGCTTGTATTCTTGCACAAATTTAAGATCTTGAACAAGATTCTTTTTCTGAAAAAAAAACATTTGAGATTTATATTAGAAAAGACATACATCTTACAAGAAGAAATTTACTTTTACTTTGAATTGTACACGTTAAGTTGTATCATTAGTTTAACTGTAAAGCTTAATATAACTAAGATTCTTTGTTTCTTTTATGCCCAGAAGTGAAAAAAAAGAACAGAAACTGCGCAATATGTACAACTTATTGTCTTTATTGTATTCCACATATCTCTACATATGATCCCAAAAAAGAAAAAAAAAATAGAAAGATATTTTTCTCAAGTAATGGGAAAAATAAATGTGGACGAAAAAAAGTTGTACAAGGTTATTTTTGTACACAATATTGCCTAGGCTTTTTTTAGATGAAAGCAAAAATGATCGTAATCAATAGTTAATTAAAGAAGTATGACGACATAATTCTAAATAAAAAATTGACGTTTAATTTAAAATTTTCACAGTTCAGCAATTAAAAATTATTCAGAATATTTGCTTTTAAAAACAAAGAGTTTGCGATAATACACTCTAATCTTGGATAAATTTTTTCTGTAATATTATTTTGGAGAAAGAAAGAAAAGAATATCTACCTAAAGAAAGTGGGTATAATATCTTATAGTAATCTATTTTCAATAAAACTCGAGCTGTTTTCTTATATTTTTCTCTTCTATATTAGAATAACGATCTTGAATAACCCAAATTTATTATATGATGAAAATTCTATAGATATACAACTGTACGGACGTTTTTACTTCGTTTTTTGTCACACACACAAACAGAATGGGAGATAAATAATGAGGTGTAAGCAGATGTATAATATGTACGGGGGTGAGAAAATATTATTGTCACAAAAACTGGTTCCACGACGTCTAACGTAACAAGAAATTGAAATACCAGAAAAAAATAATATCATATTATTATACAGTTTGAAAAAATGATGAAAAAACGTTTTAAAAGATTTATTGATGTAACATTAAAAACGAAATTGTGATATTATTTGTAGGGATAAAATTTGAAAAATGCTTGGTTTTAATGGAAAAAATGATCTACTTGAGAATGCTCATTATGCAGAATATAAATGGAATATGATATTTATTCTTTTCATCAATACGCATAACTGTTTAGATTGACATTTGTTTTGTTCATAGTTGTTGTTTGTCTACTAACACATTCAACTAACTCAATCATGTTGTGCAATATACATATACACATCCATAATGGCCCTCTTTTCTTTATTGTGCTCAGACATCATCAACATATGTTCAGTCATATAGGAAAAAATATTCTGTTTAGCAAAAAGATTATTATTAGTTCATGGAAAAGTACTTATTGAAAAATAGATAGATAAGGAAATTAATCAAAATCAGGAGAAGGAGAAGATGGAAATGATATGTGAAACAATCAATAGTCAGTAGAAGTACAGCGAACTACATCAGAGAACACTGTTAAAAAATCGTTGTTCTTCGGTCTTTCAGAGAACTAGCTGAAGAGTTCATATTAGTTCTTTGAAACTTAAAGAACAAATATTCCGCTTTTCAACTGATTTTTCAGTTTTTTAACGGTTTGAGTTCTTCAAATGAATTTTGTTATTCAACAATCGAGTTCTTCGACTGTATGAAGAACTCAACTATTATGTCGGGTTCTCTGGAAATCTCAAATCTACAAAAAGGCAACGAAAATGTACAGCTGTGCTAGGGAAGGCGTGTGACCTCAACGTTATTTTGTCAAGCTTCTAAGGATTGAGCGGTGACAGAATAGAATGAGTCAGCGAAAAAATGAGTAGAAAAGGAGTTTGTCTTTAATTTTAATTTTGGTATTGAAAACTTCTTGCTTAAGTTTAAGCGGAATGTTTTCTGGATGAATGCAAGACTATCTCTCTTCATTTTCCGAGTTTTTCATTTTTAGCAAAGATTTCGTTTAGTGATAACCTTTTTCTCTGGTTTAAGTTCTAATCCATCCAATGATAAATTTTAAATTAAGAAAGAATTTTATTTTATTCTCGTGCCAACAGTTTCACCCCTCCTCCTACCTGAAGTGCATACAAAACTTGAGTTTTCAAATTAGAAGTCTGTTTGGAAAGAGGCCTGATTTAACTTAAGTAACTGCATTTACGTTAGCTTAACGTTGATTTTCCATCAAGTTTTCTAGAAAGAAGAGAAGCTTCAGCAACTAGATAGATCATCCGACATTTAATAACTTCACTTTACCTTAGGCCTCGGTTTTCGGTCGTAGATACTTAAAAACGGTGCCACTAGTTTATGAGGAAAAAGTTTCTTTTCGGAAAGATTCTGTAGGAGAAAGCCAGATGTTTAATTGTCATATCCAAAGGTCCCAGCTGAGGCGCAATAATCAACTTCAGTAGAGCAGAAAAACGCGTTGACTGTGCTGGCGTCTCAGCTGGGATCCCTGGCCATATCTTCCGTCTCAATTTAAAGCGGTCTTTCAGCCAAAAAATCAAAGTTTAAAACCAAGTTCGTCAGTAAATTTGAACTTCTTTGACCAGCAGATCTTAAAGCAAATGTCCCTCCAAATGCTCCCTGCTGGAATGAAAAACAGAACATAATTTCTTCCAAATGTGAGTTCTTAACTTTTTTTGCTGCTAATAAAAGCTGAGTTTTTCGAAGAACAAATGTACTCCAGCGAGAGCTGTAGGACTGAAGAACTAAAAATGAGTTCTACACAAAGTCAAAGAATTCATCTTCACATATTTTCAAAGAACTCATATCTGATCTGTGTAGGAGCAAATGAAAAACACGATTTCTGAACCGAACAACTATCAACATCTTTCGATATATTATTATTCAATTCATTTTAATAGCATGATTGCTACACTCACTCTCTGCTCTTTCACTATATGATTTTGAAATTTAATAATATTTCGCTAATTCGTTTTTGTATCTACAGTGACTGTTAATGCACCATTGGTATTGCACAGATAGGAGAAGCCGGATGAAGTTTGAAAAGAAACGTTGTGACTCATTGGATATTGATAGCGAAAACGAAGAATACAGACTTTCAAGTTCAGATAATACACGGTGAACATATCGGTGAACTCAGACAAAACTTCTTCCATTTTGAGTACTGGAAAATATGTTTGTTTTTCCTTCTTTATTAAACAAAGCCGACGTTTTCGAATGGAAGGCAGGTAATTTTTAATGGTTTAATTAATGGAACACAAAAAAATTGGACAAACACTACACGGAATCGTATGTGTGTATTTATTAGTATCAATTTTGTTAATCTTCCTCTTCGACTTTATGTTCTTTGGCTGATTTTAATTGTACTTGTTCACGAAAATTAACCTTTTCTTCGTCTTTTTCTTCAGTGTTTAAGGCAAATTTTGGTTTATTGGATGCTTTTAATACTGAACGAAAATCCATTTCTTCTTCTTTCGGTTTTTGTAGTTTAAGCATTCTATAAAAATTCATAGTTTGAAACTGTTATTGCTACTATTTTTAGAGAAAAACGGGCATACTTCTGTTCTGTTTTCGACACCTTTTTGAGTATTGGTTTGATAAATTTTCCTTTGATATCATTCACCTTAATTGTTAGCTCGTTGATCTAAAAATAGGACGAGAAGAGACTATGATAAAGTGTAAAAGACAAGTTACTTATACATACGTCATAGTCTTGTTTTCGAATTTTCATTTCAAGATCATATTCTGCTTCTTCTTGTTCAGTCAATTGTTTATGCAATTCTTTCAATAATGATACAAGATGAGCTAAAACAAAACAGTACACTATGTGAGTATGTAAGTCGTATCCTTATGAATTGTCCGATGTGCTCAGTTTTGTTTCACAGCATTTCATTCCAGATGTCAGAATGATATAGTATATCAGACGTCGCTACTGGTAATGTAATTTGTTGTTACCTTCTGTTAAACTATTAAAATCTGTTGGTAATGCTGTAACTCGTTCTTCAATATAATTTTTTCTCGCTTCTAAACGTTGTTGGGCAGCATTCTTTAAATTATCTGTAGCCATTTTCATAATGAGTAACTGATGTAACACAAAAATATATGTTATATTATAACGAAAAAAAACTGTTAATACTTACCCTTAATTTTCGTTTTTTTTCCGGTGTTAAACCAAATCGTTTTTTTTTCTCGGCCACATCGCGAGCTTCTTGTCGTTTACGCTCACGTTCCGCTTTCTTACGCGCTTTCTTCTCATCTTCGGTTAATCCCTAAACACAATGATAGAAATTAAGTCATTAACTAATTGATGAACTGAAACTGAATGCCCGCTCTGCTGCTGTATCTTAAATACTTTGTACGGTATCGTCCCGATTCGTCGACAAATCGGACACTTCAAAGAATATACATCAAAGAATTTCAAAGGCGGGAGGGGCGGTGTGAGAGTGAGTGTCGACGAATCGGGACTGAATCCTTTGTACTAACAATATTCTTATAGAGATTTACTTACTCGACTGAGATGTTCTTGATGATAGACATCTGACTCTTATACATTACCTTCCCTGGAAGACAACGGGATTAATTTGACTATAGAAACTATTTTATCAAAGTCCAGTATCACTACGGAACGAAAACGATGCTCTATTATAGTCTCGCTATTGGCAAATTCTAATAAAATATAAAAGGTACGTTAATCTGTTTTTTTCAGTCAAGTTTCTAAAAATGATGACGATACATTATCAAATAAACAGTACCTCATCCGCCATGATTTGATTATAGTTTAATTATAAATTTAATATAATACGTGTGAGATGATGACACTTATTTTTGTGTAGCCAAGAAAAAAGTGAGCTCTTCTTCTTTTCCTATTTATTATATGTACAATCTATATACGATCACTTTTCTAATAACATCTACATCATTATAAAACAAAAAAGATGAGAAAATACCACAACGACAAATATGTTTCTAGACGGAAAACACCATCGACGTATACAAATATTTATTATATACATATGAAATCATTAAAAAGTTTGCTTATGCATACCTATATTTGTACAGTCGCAAGTGTATAGAAAGAAGAAAGAAAGCTAGATCATACACATATAGAATTCTTTTGTTCTATAGTACCATTTATCTTATTCTTTTAGTCACCCAGCCTTTCATACGGTATAATAAAAACGGAAAAAAACAAGTTTCTGATTCCTGTCGCGTGTCGTTTACAACAATATCTGCTCAAATAAGCATATATTTTAGAATTAATTTAATGGCTTTGAAGTTAATTGATGTTTCACCCTCTAAGACTTTTCTGTAAACAAAAATCGAAACGATATTGAATGAGATTTTCTTACGTGTACAAAAATAAGAGTGTTCTATCTGCGTTGGCTAGCCTTTTAGCTTGAAAAATGTGTCTCGTCGAATAAAAGTGCCTCACTGTGGGTTATTTTAAGCGTTTCATCCATCGCACTTGTTTTTTCTTAGTGTGTTCAAAATATTTTGATTCCGAAGCTCAATTTTGTTTAAACTTGAAAAATTTATTATGCATTCAACATACTTAGAAGTTTCACATGTTGATGGTACTTATCCAATATCACTCTATAGTGGTAAACCAATTGCTGTTGAGCAGTATTTAAACTTGGAACTAATTAGAATCAGTCAAAATTTGATTTTCTGAACATGATCGTCTCATTTATCAAATTTTTCATTTTATTTTCTATGTTAAGGGGAAGAACTGTAGGATAAAAAAACTGTAGGACAATCAAACTTGATGAAAAAAATTCGAAAATTTTCGGTTATTTCGAGATCGATGTTATTCAACGTTTAACTCTGCAGTTTGTGCTCTGATCACAAAATAATGGCCTTACCTAAAATACTCACGTTTATTCAATTATTGATTTAAAACATCAATTAGAATGGGATTTCTACACTTCTTTTTGTAACTTCCATTCAAAAGATGAGGACCTAGTGGCTGCTGGTGTAAAGCGTACAATTACGCTTAATTCATTCAGTATGCTGTTTAAACGAGATTAAGCGACTACATGAGAGATTCTTTTTTATTGTAGTCTACTAACTATAAACTATGAAACATATTAAATGAATCAAGAAAGGTCGCCTTTTAAACACTTCTATTTTGAAAGCTGATATCCATGTCACAGTGGGCATTTTTTGCTAGAGCAGGCGGACTTTAGCTTTATGAATGAACTAAAATTTCATGAATCATTTTTTATAGGTTTTTCATGATCCTCTTTCTAATGGCATGAGAGCTGGGTTTCGAAAAAGTTTTATAAGAATTTTCCAGAGATCCGGTCTCTGGAAAATCCTTCAGAAAACTTTCTCAATATTTAAAAATGATGCCACTGGAAAGAGCATTGTCGAAAACCTATAAGAAACCTGTTTCGAGTCGTTCAGGTTACTTTATCTTGAAATTCAAATTTTCAACACGAAATTGTTTGTGTGAATCTCAAAAACTAAGAAATTTCTAGAATTCAAAATCGAGCGACCGAAACTAGATGAGTTATATACCATTCGATGCGCGTTCCCCGAAATTTAACTTTGTCCGACGAAAATTTTCTTACGGCTAGACAGCCCAATAGATGGCGATTCTATATATGTCATTGCTTTTGAAAAAAACTTATTATTTGACGGAGAAAATGCAATTTTACGCGCCAGCATACTAATTCTACTAATAATTTTGTAATTTAATTTTCTCAACTTGGGAAGAAGCTAGAACCAAAAACTTTTCATCGTTAAATAGGGCATTATTTATAGTATATATATCATCATTCAAAATATAAAAATTCGAACCAGCGATTTTTCACCAAAATGCCGCCTATATTTTGGTTTTGGATATTGTCTGTCGTTGTAACGTAAAAGGTGACTATAAGATTTTGACTCCAGAAGGGGATATATGTAGGTTTGTAGAAGAAGATGTCCTCTATCTAGTGGTGTATATATTATGAAATTCTGTTGCGTACCGTGAGAGAAAACTAAAGGTAACCCTCGCTTTTTTTAGACTTTTTTAGAAATATTTTTTGTTT